TGGCTAATTTTGTTGTTAACAGGGAGTCTCACTCTGTCACCCAGGCTGGAGTGCAGTGGCACAGTCTCGGCTCACTGCAACTTCTGCCTCCCTAGTTCAAGTGGTTCTCCTGCCTCAGCCTCCCGAGTAGCTGGGGTTACAGGCTTGAGCCACCATGCCCAGCTAATTTTTTGTTTTTAGTAGACGGGATTTCACCATGTTGGCCAGGCGGGTCCTAAACTCCTGACCTCAAGTTATCCGCCTGCCTCAGCCTCCCAAAGTGTTGGGGTTACAGGCATGAGCCACCGCCTAGCCCCCTTTTGTTGTATTTGTATAAAATTCCAAACTAAAGATGTGTAGTTAAAGTAATGCCTATGACCCCGCAGATCTACCAAGAGAAGTGAAGGTATGTATCTACAAAAAAGTTAGTACAAGTATGTTCATAGCAATTGTATTCATAGTAGCCAAACACAGAAACAGTCCAGTTGTCTAGCAACAGAATAATATTTTTTATGGAACACTATTCTGCGATAAATACTAAAAATCAGTCAAAGAGAAAGCTGGACACTAAAGTGATAAGGACCGTTTTTAATCAGTAATAACTGTTGCAGTAGGGAAAAGGGTCTAGCATGAACTGAGCGCAACCTTGAGTTTAGTGCATGCAGAAGTAACTGGGTGTTTCAAAGAAAAAAATGAGGGAGGAGGTCGGAAGGCAGGTGGGGACTCAGTAGAGTCAAGAAAGTGAATAATTATAAATGAGATTGGGCTGCTAGCTGGCAGTTAACAAAGTTAGGATTCTGTTTTCCCAAAGGGAGACGTAAGCCCTATCCTTAAGTGTTATCCAGAACAAACAGTAAATTTTTTCTTGACAGCCTGAGTTTTCTCAGGCAGGCACTTTAAAGGTGGGTAGGGTTATCGTAAGGGATGTGGCCCTGAGTGATGGTTATGTTAGTGTGTGTTCAAGTCTTTATAGGCCAAGGTTGAGGCCTAAATAAGAAGAGGGCTCAGAGGAGCCTGGTTAGAGCCTGATCAAGGAGACAATCTTTGCCAGATCTACTGATATGCATAAAAATATGGATCAATCTCAAAAATATACTAAGTGGGCCAGGTGTGGTGGGTCACACCTGTAATCCCAACACTTTGGGAGGCCAAGGTGGGAGGGTTGCTTGAGCCAAGGAGTTCAAGACCATCTTGGGCAACATAGCGAGACTCTGTCCCTATTTAAACTTAAAATAAATAAATATATATATACACACACACACACATATATAGTCCTAAGTGAAAGAAGCTTTATTGAAATATGTACATGTAGATGAAATCTTAGGACAGGCAAAACTAAGACAAGCAAAAACTAACCTAGAGTGAAAAATTCAGAACAGTGTGAATGGGGAATGACTGAAAAAGCATAAGAGAACTTTCTGGGGTGACAGTAATGTTCTCTGTTTAGATTGGGTTCAGGCTGTGCAAGTGTATACATCTGTCAAAACTCATAGAATGGTACACTTAAGATTTATGCATTTCATTGTGTGTAAATGGCATCTCAAAAAAACAGTGAACATAGAACTCTTCCGTGCTAAAATGTTTAGAGATGAATAATACTGATATCTGCAACAAATGCACCAAAAATCAAGATGGATGAAGAAATGACAGATGTGTAGAACCTAGTGGCAGATATGCAGGTGTTCATTCCATAATTCTTTCAATTTGCATGTTTGAAAATTTTTATAATAGGCTGGGGACGATGGTTCACGCCTGTAATCCTAGCGCTCTGGGAGGCCAAGACAGGTGATCACTTGAGGTCAGGAGTTTGAGACCAGCCTGACCAACATGGTGAAACCCTGTCTCTACTAAAAATACAAAAATGAGCCCTAGAGTAGTGGCGGATGCCTGTAATCCCAGCTACTCAGGAGGCTGAGGCACGAGAATCACTTGAGGCTGGGAGGCAGAGGTTGCAGTGAGCCAAGATAGTGCCACTGCACTCCAGCTTGGGAGACAGAGTGAGACTCTGACTAAAAAAAAAACCAAAAAAAAAAATTTTTAGAATAAAAAATGTTGGGAAATAAAAAAGTAGTATGAATTTATGCTTAGGAAACATACTTCTCATCTTTCTTAAAATAAGTGGGGATGTTGCAGATATTGCAGATGAGAAAGCAGAGATTAGTGACTTGTCCAAAGATACCACATAGACACTGGGGGAGTAGGACTGAGACATTAAATTACTACTCCAGAGCTCTTGCCATAATATATATAAATATATAACATTTACAAGCCACTTTTACATTTTGTTTGGGCCACACTATGGTCCCATTGAGCAAGTAGAAATTATTACTTTAAATTTGCAGATTTAAAAATCTGCACATTGGGGTAAAATTGTTTGCCAGTTATCACACAAGTAACAAGTGGTAGAAACAGGTTGAGATGCTAGGTAGATCTTATCTCCTGGCTTACCACTTTTCCTACCACTTCATGTCCCAAAGTTCCCAGCTTGCCCAATATTTTTGTGTGGGACCCAACACTTGGATAAGTGTTTCTGGAGGAGTCTCTGGCCTGCTTTTCCTCCTCCTTGTCTGTGTTACCACTCTGGGTCTGAAAGGGTCTTCTCTGTTGAATGTCCCTGACTGACCAGCCCAGTTTCTGTTTCAGTGACCCGTTGCCGACCAGCCCTGGTGCCACGTGCCTTCCATGCTTCAGCTATGGGGCTAAGGTCTTCAGATGAGCAGAAGCAGCAGCCTCCCCCTTCATTTTCTCAGCAGCATTCTGAGACACAGGGGGCAGAAAAACCTGATCCAGAGTCTTCTCATCCACCCCCCAGGTAGGCACTAATCCACCTATTTCTGGCCACTTCACATGCTTCAGTATGTCTGTTCCTCCTTCACTTCCTCTCTCCTCTCCATCCCCTTTTATACCTACCTTCATTTCCAAGGCCATCTTTGTTTTTTAGAATTTTTTATTTTTTTGTAGTGATGACTTCTCGCTACATTGCCCAGACTGGTCTCAAACTCCTAGGTTTCAAACTGTCCTCCCCCTAGACCTCCCAAAGTGTTGGGATTACAGGTGTGAGCCACTGCACCCGACCCCAAGGCTGTCTTTGGAAATAACCTATTGTTTTTATAAAATTGGTGCCTGTTTGTTCTAAAACATCTAAACAGTATAGAGAAGTTCACAAAAATAAAGCAGTTTTATCCAAAATTACAGAGATAACCCTGCTAACATTTTTGTGAATATCCTTTTAGATGTTTCTCTAAACTTATTTCATATATACATTTTTGTGTAGAATAGATACAATGTGTATAAACTCTACATGCTGTTCTAGAACCTGTTTTTTCACTCAACAGTACATTTGTAATGTCTTTTCATAGTTTAATAGTTGTATAACATTCCAGCAAATAGCTGTGCCGAAATTTATTTGACACTGTTTTTTATTGATGGATATTTAGATTTTTTAATTGATGGATATTTAGATTTTTTTTGATGGATATTTAGATTTCCTGTTGTTTATTGTTTTTTATTGATGGATATTTAGATTTTCTTCACTAGTATAAGAAATAATGTGATAAAGTGTATGAATCTCTCCTTAGAAGTGGGAGCACTGAGTCAAAGGATATGTACACTTAAAGATTTGTTACAGGCGGCCTGTGGCTCACGCCTGTAATCCCAGCACTCTGGGAGGCCGAGGTGGGTGGATCACGAGGTCAGGAGATCAAGACCATCCTGACTAACACGGTGAAACCCCGTCTCTATTAAAAATACAAAAATTAGCCAGGTGCAATGGCAGGCAGCTGTAGTCCCAGCTACTCGAGAGGCTGAGGCAGGAGAATCGCTTGAACACAGGTGGCAGAGGTTGCAGTGAACTGAGATTGTGCCACTGCACTCCAGCCTGGGTGACAGGGGGAGACTCTGTTTCAAAAAAAAAAAAAAAAAAAAAGATTTGTTACATATATGGGACCAGTTGCCCTCCAGAAAGGTAATACTAATTTACATTTCCATTAGAGGTTTTTTTTTTCCTAATCCTGCCATTGAAAAGTTTCTCTAGATCTGAAATTAGAGTGTTCCTTTTCATTTTTCTGGTTTCCTAACTAAAGTACTTTTCATTTCAATTCAAGAAGTATTTTTTGAGGCCCTACTATCATGCCAGGCCCTGTGAGTAACATAGCATTGCTCCTGCCCTCATGGAAGTAGTCTGGTGTGAGTTTAGATGAAGAAACCCTCTGAGTACAGTGTGCTAAGGGCTGAAGACAGGAACTCCAGGGTGCAGCATTGCCTTCATACCACATGACCTCATTTGCTGGATTCCTCTCGGTGCCTATGGGGAGGGGAAGGATGATCTAGTTTTTACTCTGTTGGCATTAAAACATTGATACTGGCTAGGCGCGGTGGCTCACGCCTGTAATCCCAGAGCTTTGGGAGGCCGAGGCAGGCGGATCACTTGAGGTCAGGAGTTCGAGACCAGCCTGGCCCACGTGGTGAAACGCTGTCTCTACTAAAAAATACAAAAATTAGCCGGGCATGGTGGCGCATGCCTGTAGTCCCATCTACTCGGGAAGCTGAGGCAGGAGAATCGCTTGAACCCAGGAGGTGGAGGTTGTAGTGAGCTGAGATCACACCATTGCACTCTATCGTGGGTGACAGAGGGAGACTATCTCAAAAACAAAAAACAAACAAACACAAAAACCCCACATTGATACTGACACAAGAATAAATGTCTTCCCAGCATGTGCTTAGAGGAGATCCAGAGCCCCTAGTTTCTGGTCAGGCCCATTGTACATGCCAGGAGATGAAGTATGCTGGGCTGTGTCCTCTTGTCTCAGGTATACAGACCAGGGCGGCGAGGAGGAGGAGGGCTATGAAAGTGAGGAGCAGCTGCAGGACCGCATCCTGACGGCAGCCCTGGAGTTCGTGCCCACCCACGGGTGGACAGCAGAGGCGATTGCAGAAGGAGCCCAGGTGTGTATAGGTGAGGGTGGAGCCACCCAACCAAGATGAGCCAGGATGGAGTCACACCAGGCAGAGCGGAAGGCCTCATGCCTTCTTCCAGTCCAGCTCAGAGCCCCTCACAGCTGCAAGATTGACTGGGTTTTTTCCCCCAATAGGGTGAAACTGGCTTTATTTTGTAGTTATAAAGAACGTACCGCGGAGTTGGTTGTTGGGAGTTGTGTTCTAAAGGCAACCTATTAGGCAAGAATTGTCTGTGATCAAAACTACCATGTTTCATTGACTCTAAGATGCCATTGGTTGTAAGAAGCACCATTTTTAAATGCATCAGTAAAACAGAAAACATACTGCCTTTTGAACTATGACAGAGCACTTCTATGATTGACACTGATTTTTTTAAATGAAAAATCTATATGCATTTTTGAATTAATGACATATGGTGTTTGAAAACCCCCAAGAAGGCACCACTTTGGAGACCAACACATCTTATTTTCCCAGAAACTCTAACAGCATTTCCTGCATTAGTAGAGACTGCTGCTTTAGATTAGGCAGGAGGCTCATGTTCAGGCCATGTTGTAGAGAGTCCTCCAGCATAGCAAGATACCATCATCCAAGAGACTGAGGGGATGACAGAGTTGCATCTCCCATCCCAGGCTTGCTGCAGGGCATCTACCCATGGACAATGGGCAAGGTTGCTGCTTTACTGAAATTTAACTGTTATTTCCTTGTCTTCTCTCACTCCCAAGTGCACATTTGGTAACAGAAGTCTCATTAGTGAAATACAGATGCTCTGACTCCACTGTAGGCTCATTGTGAAAACTGAACAATACAAACAAATATAAAAAAGAATGTAGAAAACACCTATAATCACACCAAAGATCATACTACCAGCATTTATGCCTAGTTCTTCCAAATTAAAACCCTTTAAATGATTCATTCTTTAAATGTTTGTTGAGCAAATAATGTGCCCTAGGCACTGTGCTAGTCCAAGGGACATGACAGGGGTCAAGATGGACCTGCTTCCTGCCCTTGTTGAGCTTCCAGTCTAGCAACATTAATAAAATGTATACAAATATTTACTTAGACGATGTGGTAAGTGCTATCAAGGAAAAGTGCTGTTGGGCTGTATCATGGAGGGACCTGATCATTAGATCAGGTCACAGCTGCAAGATTGTTTGTTTTTTCCCTCAATAGGGTGGAATGGCTTTATTTTGTAGATATAAAAGTAATGAACTATGGAATTGGTTGTTGGGAGTTGTGTTCTAAAGGCAACCCATTGGCAAGAATTGTCTGTGATCAAAACTACCATATTTCATTGACTCTTAAGATGCCATTGGTTTTAAGAAGCACCATTTTTAAGTGCATCAGTAAAAAAAGAAAGCATGTTGCCTATTAAACTATGACAAATAGTTTAATTTGTCATACCAAGGGGATGGAGGGCTGGGCACAGTCGTGCATGCCTATAATCCCAGCACTTTGGGAGGCCAAGGCAGAAGGATTGCTTGAGCCCAGGAGTTTGGGACCAGCCTGGGCAACCTAGGGAGGGACCCCATCTCTACAAAAAAAACAAAAATTAGCCAGGCATGGTGGTGCTTGCCTGTGGTCCCAGCTAGTTGGGAGGCTGGGATGGGAGGATCTCTTGAGCCTGGTATGTCAAGGCTGCAGTGAGCCATAATGATGCCACTGCACTACAGCCGGGGCAGCAAAGTAAGACCTTGTCTAAAAAAAAAAAAAAAAACATATATATACATATATATATTTGGGGTGGGTAACAGGGCAGTCAGGAAAGGCTTTTGAGCTGAGAATTGAGGAATGAATAGGCTTTACGTGACTTCGTGGGTAGGGGATGGACAAGTCCAAATAGAGAAACTGCAAAGGCAAGGTGGAAAGAAAAAGAAGGATGGTGCATTAGAGGAACCACAGAGAACCACCATGCAGAGAGTGCAGGAAGAGAGACTTGAGATAAGCAAGGCTAGAAAGGTCAGTCAAGGTCAAATCAGGCAACGCCCTAAAGGTCATGATAAGGAGTCAAGCTTTTCTTCTAAGAACAGTTGAAGATACTGGATTAAATTTGGCATTTCAAAATGCTCATTTTGGCTGCTGGATGAAAAGTGGATTGGAGGCAGAGAGAGACTCATTGGGGGCTGCTGCCAGACATCCAGGAGAGAGAAGGTGGTCTGGCTTAGAGTAATGGCAGTGGGTAAGTTTGGGAATAGCTTGGACATGGGAGGGAGTGACAGGATGGCACCAGAGTTGCCAGTTTGCATGTGTGGGTACACAGTGGTAGTGTTTTCTAAAGTTAAGGCCATTGGAAGAGGACCAGCTTTGGGGAAGGGTACAGCCTTGATCTTTATTGATTATGAGGAGTTTTTCAGTCAACCAGTGGAGGCATCAGGCATACAGTTCAGGAACTGGAGGAGATAGCTGGACTAGAGATACACATTTGGGCATTATTAGCGCGCATATATATACTGTGTGTGTATATATATATATATGTAGTAATTATGGAAGTCAGTGAGATTGTCCAGGGCAAGAATATAATGTCATATGAGAGGGGAGTCCAGACTGTCAAGGAACTTGGACATTTAAGGGGAGGGTAGAATAGGATGGGCTGTCAAAGTCTAAGTCAGAGCATCCTGATGTTGGAGGCACAGCAGGAGAGTGTGGATTAAGCAGCTAGACATTGGTTACTGGAGCAACAACTGTTTGAGTGGAGAACTGGGTCAGAAATCAACTGGAGTGGATCGAGGTGTACATAGAAGGCGAGGAAGTGGCGAGGCGTTTGGCTGCGAGGGGTACATGAGAACTAGGGTGCACCAAGCAGGGGAAACAGATGGAAGTTTGCACATGATTGAACACAAATGGGAAGAGTACAGAAACAAGAGTGGACCAGGCTCACATGTGTAATCCCAGCACTTGGGGAGGCTGAGGTGGGAAGATTGCTTGACACTAGGAGTTTGAGGCCAACCTGGGCAATATGGCGAGACCTCATCTCTACAAAGACATTTAAAAATTAGCCAGATGTGGTGGCACATGCCTATGGTCCCCGGCTGATGTGGGACGATTGCTTGAGCCCGAGAGGTCAAGGCTGCAGTCATACCACTGCTTGAGTGACAGAGCGAGACACTGTCTCAAAAAAAAGAAAAGAAAAGAAAAAGGAAAGAAACAAGAGTGAGGGTGAATTTACAAGAGAAAATAGGCAAAATCAAGAGTGAAATTCCTTGAAGGCAAGAATTGTGGGATCTGGACAACAGATGGAAGGACTGGCCTTAAATGTGTTAGGTGCAAAGTTGGAGAAAGCAGCTGAAGGCTTAGTTTCTAAAAAAGAAAGAAGACCTGTTGATGTGTTCATCCCTGAGCTAGTCTCTGTGAACTTGTTATTCAAGCCTGGATTCTGCTCTTGCACACACACCAAGGGGCTTTGTGGGGTGGAGGGACCGGTGGTGGTCAGTTTCACCAAAATCACATGGACCCAGAGTGAAGAGTAGGGGTGTCCCACTGAAAATCAAGCTGCTGTCACTAGGAAGAGGCTCTAGTGATGAACAGGCAACAAATGTACCCTACACTTGGGCACCGCTTTTCTGTTTTCTATCTCCCCTTTTATAGTCTCTAGGTCTCTCCAGTGCAGCAGCCAGCATATTTGGGAAGGATGGCAGTGAACTAATACTGCATTTTGTGACCGAGTGCAATGCCCGGCTCACACGCGTGCTGGAAGAGGAGCAGAAGCTGGTACAGTTGGGCCAGGCAGAGTAAGTCCCATGGCATTATTACACAGGGTGGCAGCTAAGGATCAGGGAACTTGGGCCCTATTAGCTATCCCCAGGAGGCCAATCCAAGCAGAACCCAAAGAAAGTAGCATTGGGCAGCCTTGCTGCTGTGATGGGACTGACACCTGGCAGCCTGTCTCTGACAGCTAGCTTTAGTCAGGCCAGCATCAGGAGCTGGTAGGACCCTTTTCCCTAGGGCTGAGTAAACCATGGAGCACTAAGCCTCTGCCTTTTGCTCAGAGACACACTGTTTTCTTTTCCCTCTTCCAGGAAGAAGAAGACAGACCAGTTCCTGAGGGATGCAGTGGAAACCAGACTGAGAATGCTGATCCCATACATTGAGCACTGGCCCCGGGTACCGAGTCCATATCCAGGCCCCAGAGCAACAATAATCCTAATATTTATTATTCTCAGAACCTTTCACACAGATGACTTTGCACACTGTTGAACTTAGCTCATCAATCTCCATAAACCCGAGAATACTTAGTACGCTTGGTAGAGCTGGGTTTCAAACTTGGGCATACCAAAGAGAGTGACCCTGAGCCATCTGTGTCTCAGTTCTTGGAAATGTGAGTGGTCCGGGTACTGGATCCCATCCTGGGTGGGGTTCTCCTAGTGACCTGAGTGTGCCACCAGGTCTGCAGGGAACAGGAATCCATGCAGGAAGTTAGAAGAGTCAGAAGATTTTATTGGCTGTCTTCACTTGAATAACAGCCCTGTGGATTTTAAATCTCGAGGACTGGGATTTGTCAAATTGTCAATGTGATGCTTGGGAATTGGCATATTTGTTGCAAGGGTTTTTTTCACCTTTTCTGAAGCTTCCTTTTTCCTCTCTTTTAAAGCATGTCACAGTATGGGCCATTCTCTGAGTGAAGAAAGTACAGAGTGAAAGTACACCCGAAGTGAGAGGGACTCAGACATCTTGTGTCCTTTGCTCAGCTGGAAGACTACTGAGCATGTAGTTTCAGTCATTCAGTTGATAGACATTTGAACACTTACGGTGGTGCGTAACCCCAGGCCAAGTGTGACTCATTCCACCTTGCAGTTAAATCAGTGGAAGTGCATGTATGAGGCTCTCAGCTGCCTTCCTGATTCAGCATAGTGTTTTCTTCCAGGCTACCTCACTAAGAGAAAACCTTACAGCCGATCCAGGACCTCTCTGACCACCTCCCCAGTGGATGTAGCATTGGTAAAGTGGCAGGACCTTGTTTTGTTTGACAGTAGGAGCTGATGTATGTGAACAGACTCCTATCTCTGCTGTTTCTTCTGTGTGACAGACTGGGTATCTTCGCCCATCCTTGCTTAGACCAGTCTAGACCCTCTGTCCCTCTGCATTCCCAGTTCCAAATGCTAGGGATGGAGAATGTGCTTGGGCTTGCATAAGACAGGGCTATGCCCCTGGCTTTCCTCAGCTGTAGTCAGCATTGCTAGCTGCCCAGAACTCACACTGGTAGGTGAAGATGCTGGTCTCAGAGAACCAGAGCTGGGCAGGCTCCCTCATACTACCTCTAATTGGAGAGGTAGGTGCTGGTCAGCTATGCACCATTATCTGCGAGCAGAGCTTACTCCTCTGCCATTCTCTCCCCAGGCCCTCAGCGTCCTCATGCTCCCTCACAACATCCCGTCCAGCCTGAGCCTGCTCACCAGCATGGTGGATGACATGTGGCATTACGCTGGGGACCAGTCCACTGATGTGAGTGCTTTCTGCAGGCCCACAGGAGGCTGGGAAAGGCTTGTGTTAAGCATTGCCTCAAGAAGCTTGTGAAATTTCTTTGATCACAAGCCCCTGTAGGGGGGCTGCAGTGTCATTCCCATCTAAGGTATGAGGAAGGTCCCTCACGAAGCCAAAGTGGGATCTAGGTCATCTTCATTCAGGGACCAGCATTCTAGCTATAAACCAGTTATTATTTCTTCCAGCTTGTGGTGGTGACACCAGGCGTCAGAGAGCCTTTAGCATTGGCAAAGCTAATTGGGCTGCCATTTTATTATCATTTCCCTCTCTCCTAAGATGTAGATTCTGCAGCAAAATTCCTCTTTTGAAAAAAAGAAATGCCATGGAAACACCCATTGCTTTAAAAAGAAATTCCCTTCCCCAGCCCATCTTGACCTGCTTTGCTAAGAGATCAATAAGGGTTTTTAAACAGCACCAGGAAAGAATCTGACTTGTTAATGTTATCATATTTTTGGTAGGAAATTTTAAAAAATATACCTTCATAAAGGAAATTAAAATGTGATGATACTTTGTGGAATCCTGGATAAGGAGGCACAGAAATACTCCCACCATAGTTATAATGAAGTGTTTTAATAAACTTCTCCTATGTGGGAATATAATGCCGACAGAGATGGTAGGAAAATGAAATTAGAAAGCAAAGAAATTAAAGGAATAAAACACCAAGCAGCTGAGCTGGTCCTCTGAAGAGCAGTTTGACAGAACAATCAGAAGTTGCTGAGGGACTTGAACTCTCAGCTTTGCCCAGGTATTGTAATCTGTCCATGAGCCTGTCTCAGCCCTCACTTTGTTGATGAACATACCAAGGTTTGGTCATAACTGGCTGATTACAGCATCTTCTGGGACTCAGATGTCCTAAGATGTAGGCTTTCTACTAGCAGTTCCAAAATGGATTGGATGTAGCGAAATCATCTGGGATACTTATTAAGTATCCTGATTCCTGGCACTTAATTTAGATCCATTGACTCTGCTCTTAAGAGGTTGGGCCCAGGAGCTTGCATTTTTAATCAACCAGATAATTCTGATGCTCAGTCAAGTTTTAGATGGTGGTGTTATCCAGAGGGCCAAATGTATCTGTGAGAAAAAGAAGTAGTCAAGAGGGAACCAGGAGTTCCCGTGGCCTTGGGTAGGAACTGCCTCAGACTTGCACCAGCGCACAGCAGTAGCGTGGGTTTCTTTGCAGTTTAACTGGTACACCCGCCGAGCCATGCTGGCTGGCATCTACAACACGACAGAGCTGGTGATGATGCAGGACTCCTCTCCAGACTTTGAGGACACTTGGCGCTTCCTGGAAAACCGGATTAATGATGCAATGAACATGGGCCACACTGCCAAGCAGGTAGCTGGGGACTAGCCATTGGGGAACCCTCTTTAGAAGGCATACCTGTTCTCAGGCCACAGGTGGTGACTTGACTGTGCTCTTGCTCCCTTTTGGCCTCAGCTGACAGTCCTGAAGGCCTTCTCAGGGAGCCTGGCTGGTTCTTCCTCAGGCCAGCCCTTCCCTAAGAGCCATACTTTGCCCATTTGTGATTGTATTGTCCAAAACTGTCCTTCCAGTAATGTGGCCTCCATGTCTCCTCCACCTTTTGGGGCTTATAGGCCTCCTGATTTATCCTGCCTGTCTCAACTCTTAAGTTTGTGTTGGTGGTCTAAGGGAACCTGACACTGACTCCTTCTAGGTAAAGTCCACAGGAGAGGCACTGGTGCAAGGACTCATGGGTGCAGCGGTAACGGTGAGTACTGCCCAGCACATCCCTGCCCCTCCTCTCTCCCACTCCAGCCCTGTGATATATGTGTTACTGACTTCACATCATTTTGTAGCCCTAACCTGGAAACCTAATAATCTAATAATAAGGCTGACAGTGGTTCAGCCCTAGTGTCTTGATTCCAAAAACCCCACTTCTTTATTTTTTCCTCTTATCAGGAGATATCACTGACTCCTGGGACCCTGGTATATCAAGTCTCTGTATCATAGCTGCACCTGCCACCTTGCAAACCTGGATCTTGGCCAGGTGCGGTGGCTCATGCATATCATCTCAGTACTTTGGGAAGATTGCTTGAGCCCAGGAGTTTGAGGCCAGTCTGGGCATCATGGCAAAACCCTGCCTCTATGCAAAAAAAAAAAAAAAGAAAAAGAAAAAGAAAAGCTACATCTTTTCTATTAGAGTTTATAGGCAGGGTAAGCCCTCACTATGCTTTTTGTTTCCATTCCCGTGTCAGCTCAAGAACTTGACAGGTCTAAACCAGCGTCGGTGAGAGGAAAGGGTGTAAGCTACAATGCCTAGAAGAGAATGAGTGGACAGATTGAAAGAGCTTTGAAAAGTATGAGGTGCCATCCGTGTAACCTGGTGTTCATGAGAACACACTAAAGGACTCCTGAGACACTACCACAGCCACCTGGAAACCACAAGGCATTTGATGCTACCGTTCTGGTCAGGGATTGGGCCGCTTCTTCAGTTCCTAATACCAGACCAAGCCTCCTGATGCCTTTCTGCACTGCAATTGTGTGATTGAAAAATGAGATGTTCATCCAAGCAGTCAAGCCACAGAAACCCAGCATGTCCCTGTCACGATCTCATGGGCACCTTGATCATGTCTTAACCTTCCATTAACCTTGGGGCTCCCAAGCCAGAGTCAAGGTGACGCATGCCTCATGCCACCTCAAGGTGACAGCTCATCCCCAGCACAGCACAGGCGTGTGCACACAGAGGTGTTCCTTGCACCCCCCTCCCTCTCAGGTGTCCTGAGATGCTACTCCTGGGAAACCCCTCAGAAAACTGCCTCACCTGAGACAAGTGCCTGCTGGACAGAGGTGTGATCCCAGGCCTGGTGTCATATGACACCAGCATGCATCGCAGGATTATTAGTGTATTTTGAGTCTAAAAATAATAAATATGTTTGAAGTAGTTTCCTATTGTGTAGTTAGTTTGCTTATCAATCATGATAGGTATCCAAGACCCCAGAGGGAGACAGAGGTGTTATGGAAGAGGCTTGAGGCTGGCAGCCAGGAGACCTGTGTTCTGGCGCTGCCACTGCCTAGTACATAGTAGTAATTATGGTACCTCTGCGTTTCTGGGCTCAAGTCTTCCCATCAGTAAAACAGGGGTAACAGAAGCCTTCCCACAGACCATTAGCTCTCTTGGCTGCCCTTGTCTGACTATTTCAGTGGTACATTCTTTAGCCCCAGTAATTTTCTCAGCCTGTACACTGGCTGGGTTCCCTTTGCATGTCTGGTTAGCTCTGTTTTCTGCTTTGCTCTCTTCTGCCTAAGTCAGCTAAATATTATTGGGGGAAGTCAGCAACTAATTGAATTTCAGATCTCTTGTGGGTCTTCCACTGGATCTTTTTTGTACCTCTCTTCATTCCTTGTATCTTTTGACATCCTGTGAAGTTTTTGCAGTAGCTGTTCCAGTTTTCATTGCATTCTCCTTTTTCCTTCATAGCATCCATCTCACACTCAGCAGACAACCATAATTCTTAATTTACAGAGATGACACAGGCTATGGAGCAGGGTTCCATCAGTGCCCACCCTCTGTCTCAGGAAGAGGTGTCAGTCTTTGCAAAGGCAAACTCTTTATCTGGTTACTCTTCTCCCACTTCTTAAATGTAGCTCCTGTCAAGTTCTATTTTAGAGCTTTTGTCTGTTGGAGCAGCTGCCACTTTGTTTGAGGCCCATTGAGAGTTTGAGACTCTCTCCAGTCTGTTTAGGGGACTTCAGTAGTTCTTGGTTGAGCATGCACCCCACATGGTGCCCACTGCCAGGCACTGGGGATGCAGAGACAAAGAGCTCCCACTCACCCACCGCAGCTACACAGACTGCAGAGGAAGCATTAGGTTAAAGAACATTGTATCTTTTCCTGAAGTTTTCAGAAGTGCATGGTCCATACTTGAGACTGCAAGGGAAAGGGTATTTACTTACAATTCAGGTATACTTTGCTAAAATATGCATTCATATTAAAATATACTTTTGTTTTTCTGTAGATGTACAAGTTCTTTTTAAGGGCTTCATGGTATTCTATGTGTGTATACTTCACCAGGTCTCTTATCAATGGACAGTACAAACAGTACTACCATGAATGTCCCTGCACTCGTATCTTTGTTTACAACTGCAAGTGTTTCTGCAGTATGAATTCTTAGATATGTTACTGTTAAGTCAAGGACTTACGCGTGTTTTGCCAAACTACCCTACGAGATAGCTGAATCGGGTACGTTTTAAAGCAGGAGGCGGTAGAAGACGCTCGGCGGTTCCGGCCTCCGAGCAGCAGGCGGCGCTGTGAGCCGTCTTTGCGGAGGCCACGCTGACTGACTTCCGGTGTCGGCGGTGGCGCAGGCGCAGTCACCGCGGAGCTGACGCGGAGGCTGGTGGCTGCAGGGAGCGATGCCGTACGCCAACCAGCCCACCGTGCGGATCACTGAGCTCACTGACGAGAATGTGAAGTTCATCATCGAGAACACCGACCTGGCGTAAGGCTGCCGAGAGAAGAGGCTGGCGGCTCTGGGGCGCCGGGAGGCCCAAGCCGGGGCCCCGGGGGCAGGGAGCGGGGGTGGAGTGGAGGTGATGTCCTTCCAGAGCTGCCCCCCTGCGCCAGGGCTTTAGCTTTGGGAGCCTGCGGCGCGGGCCCAGCCTGTCGAGGCTGCAGCGCCTTCACGCCTCTTGGCTTTTCGTCTTTCAGGGTGGCCAATTCGATTCGGAGGGTCTTCATCGCTGAGGTGCCCATAATAGGTAAGCGACCCCCCTTCCTCGTTCCCGGGCCCACGGGTTCCTGCCCCGCTCTCCACCCACACTCCCTGGGGCTCCTTCCAGTCTTTGGTTCGGGCTGAGGGTGGTAGTGCTGAGAAAAGTGCATTGCTGGAGACTTGACCATACCCTGTACCCTTGGCCCAGTGGCCGCCTCCCTGGCACCCACGGACCACTTAGGTCCACCGTTGTCCTGCGTATGCATTGCTGAGAAGCATGGGTTTAACAGTGTGCAGACTTGGGTTCAAATACTGTTTTCACTACTATTGTCACAAAAGTTTTTTAAATGTTTTCAACTTTTATTTTGGATTCAGGGGGGTACATTGGTGCAGGGTTGTTGCCTGGGTATAGTGCGTGATGCTGAGGTTTGGGATATGAATGATCCTTTCACCCAGGTAGTGAGCGTAGTACCGAGTAGGTAGTTTTTTACTCCTAGCCCCACTGCCTCCCTCCCTGCTCTAGTAGTCACCAGTGTGTCTATATTGTCATCTTTATGTCCATGCGTGCCCAGTTTTAACTCCCATGCGGTGTTTGGTTTTCTGTTCCTGTGTTAATTCTCTTAGGATAATGGCTTCCAGGCCGGGCTCACGCCTGTAATCCCAGCACTTTGGGAGGCCGAGGCTGAGGAACACCTGAGGCCAGGAGTTCGAGACCAGCCTGGCCAACATGGGAAAACCTCGTCTCTACTAAAAATACAAAAATTAGCCGGGTATGGTGGTGCACACCTGTAATCCCAGCTACTGGGGAGGCTGAGGCAGAATTGATTGAACCCGGAAGGTGGAGGTTGCATTGAGCTGAGATCATGCCTCTTACGCTCTAGTGTGGGCAACAGAGTTGAGACTCCTTCTCAAACAAAAGAAAATAAAAAAGAGGATAGTGGCTTCCAGCCGCGTCCATGTTGCTGCAGAGGACATGATTTCGTTCTTTTTTATGGCTGCATCAGTTACTATTTTTGAGAAACTTGGGCAAGTTATTAAACTTCTGCGTGCTGCAGTTTCCTCATCTGTAACATTCAGCCACTAATGATCTTTATCAGGGTAATGTTAAGGATTAAGTGAGGTAATCCATATAAGTGCTTTATGTTTAGTGAGTGTTCAGTGCTGGTAGATGGCTTTTTTATTAATCTATTCCTTCAACAGCATTTATGGAGCATGTAAGTGGCAGGCATGGTGGTAAGCTCTGGGAATGCAAAGCTGTAGAGAACATGGTTTTTGCCCTCGTGGAGTCCACAGTGAGGTTGCAGGGGGAGAGATGAACCCACAGACAACACTAAAGCAAGGTAGACTGATCAGTAGTTCAGGAGAAGCATAGCTATGGTGCAGTTGGCTCTTAGAGGAGGGAAGATCAGTTTCTGGTCTGGTTCCAGCCACTTTGCTCCAGGTGCTTAATGCATTGATTATACTTGTATGAAATACTTCAAGCATTTCTGAGAGTCAGGTCCAGAGAATTTGGATTAGGCAAAAGATATAAATATAAGTCATAGCTGTGGCATCAAATATTTAGACTTTTAAGGAAATAAGCAAGCCAAATGATTAGGCAAGAGAGCATTGTAGTTTATCCACCACCACCCCTGGCCCCCCAGTCACTTCTTCAATTCATCTTGGAGTGCTGGACCTCCCCCTGACTAATCACTTCATGCCTCTGGACCTCAGTTTCATCAAGAGTCAGGTGAGGGAGTTGTACTTCATGATGCAGCCCTGCCATTCTGAGTCTAAATGCCTCTTTCCCCACAAATTCAGTTCTACAAATAATGTTGAGCACCCAAGCTAGGAATACAAAGACATCCCAGCACCTGCCTGAAGGAATTTCTGAAGCTTGGGGTATAGACATAACATACACAAATGTGACACAAGGCACACTATGACAAGTGTCTTCAGGGAAGTCTGAAGAGAGTTTTGTGAGAGGAGTTGAAAGAGAGGGAGTGCCACACCTGTAGCATAGAGGGCAGGCAAGGCTTAGTTTTTAGGAGGCACAGAGGATCTTAACCTGTACAGTGAGGAGGGGAAGGGTGTGCTGGAGGAAGGGGCTGGGGGATTAAAGAGGCAGAAAAGCTTGGGTCAGGGTTCTCTTAGTTGGCTTGGACTGGGGAAGCAATGGGAAGCATAGCAGGACAGAGTAGGTGGAGGCCTAGCATGTGGAGGTCCTCTTCCGACCTCAGTTCCTAGTGTCTGTGTCCCTCATTTGGCAGTTGGGCTCCAGTGCCATTTGATTCCTGGATTTAGTTGGTTCCATGCAAATGTTTATGAATGAATAAATATGTGTTTAAGTCAAGCGTGTGTGATAGATAATACCGTCTTTACCCTCCTACCTGCTCATTGCTGCTAGGGATTGGGTTCTATATTTAGTATGCTTTGCGCGTTAAAGGAATTCAGTAAACGTCTGTTGGTTGAATGTTTAAAAAGTGCTAAGTTGGGCAGTCCAGTCATTATATCCTAAAATGAGGTATGGCCCATAAGTCTGTGTTACTTCTGTGAGGTTTTCCCTGACTTTGAAGTGCTCAAATAGTTCATGTTCTTGGATTTGGTGGTGGCACAGGTAGCAGATTTAAGTGCTTCTCATGGAAATACTCAGCTCAAATAAACATGTTTCCACTCCCATGATATTCTCTGAGTCAGTGTTTTCTGTGAAGCAGGGAGCCCCCTGCGTTAAATTCACCTGGGCAGGGAGGTGAGGTGTGCGGTGTGTGTGGGTCTTATTAAAATGCAAGTTCCTGGGCCCCACTCTAGTGCTGTGGAATCAGCCCAGCCTCTGCAGTTTAGTGTCAGGTGATTCCTAAATCGTGAGAACCACTGCATTAAGTCTCTAGGTAAATTTGATGGCTAAACTCCATGTCTGCTTCTTTCATTTTGTAGCCATTGACTGGGTTCAGATTGATGCGAATTCCTCAGTCCTTCATGATGAATTCATCGCTCACAGGCTTGGTGAGTACTCCTTTTATTAGAAGGGAGGGTACTGTGCCTAGTGTCAGGAGGGGGCTTCCTGCCAGCCTCACCCCCAGGAGGCTTCTGGGTTCTCATTTTGGCTTGGCTGTTTGGTTTTCTTTAAAGTGCTTTTCTGTTTTTTACAGGATTAATTCCCCTCATTAGTGATGACATTGTGGACAAGCTGCAGTACTCCCGGGTATGCTGTGTGATTGGGTGGAATGTGAGGTTTGGTGGGGAGGCCTTGGGTCTC